CTCTCGATTTTATATTTAATTAAAAATAAACAAGTAATTGATTTTTGCTTAAAAATAAATTTAAGATTATTTGTTAAGTTAACTTATTTGAATTGATACTAAACTATAAATTTTGCTTTAATCATTATTTTAAAGATAATTTTTAATTAAAATAATAATTATACATTCATAATGAAAAATAATAATTGTACTACAAAGATTGTGACAAATATGTGCAAATAGATTAATTATTTTTTGTACTACAAAGATTGGTAATACTTAATGTAACTCAAATAATAAATTATTAATAAATTTAATGACCTAAAAACTAGATTAACTAATTACAACAAAAAATTTAAAAATTAAAAAAATAGCAATGAATCCGATTGATATATTTTTAATTTTTAGACTTTTTTAAATAACAAATATTACTATTCTTTAATTGCAAAAAACAAAAAAAAACAAAAAATTTAAAAATTAAAAAAAGCCTGATCGGTCCGGTTCATCATAACGGACCGAACTGGGACTCGCCGAGCAATGAACCCATCCCGGGTTAATCCAGGACGGGTGGGCGGTCAATTTTTTTTTTTTATTTTCAATTTTTTTTTTATTTTTTCTCTAGTCAAATTATTTGATTTAAAAAAAATAATAGAGATAAAATAGTCCAATTTTAAAATATGTGGCTTTAAGTAGTAAAGGTGGTGGCTTTGAAAGTAAATAGTTTATAGGAGCAGAAGACAAAAGACTTGTACATTTCTTTGTGGTCGCGTGCGTACGTGTTTTGAGCCCATTTTTGTTGTTGAAATGGGTATGAAATAAAAGATAGGAGAAAGTTTTGGTCCCACATCTCAAAGATTAAATATATTATAATCAATTAAAATTAAATTAAATTCAAAATTGTGTTTTCTACTTAAGATTAAAAAAAAACTCCATTTGCATCAGATAAATAGTCTACATTATGATTTGTATAGTGTATTAGTTTTAGTAAATTCACAAATTATAACATGGACTATTTTTGGAGATAAGAGAGTTTATATTTAACATCTACAGCTCAACTAATGTAAAACGTACTCTTTATGGTCTGGTATATTAAAAAATATTTTTTTCATTCCAAAATAATTGTCAAATTAAAATTTTTTTTAGCTCAAATTATATAAAAATTATCGACTCAGGCATGATAATCATTTTAGGACATAGGACGTACTAATAAAATCACCTTATGTTTCATTATTTTTTATTTGAAAAATATATAGATCCTTAATTAACATTTAAAAAGTATCTTCTGGTCACTAATTTACTAGCAACCATGCAATTAGTCTCGGCTTATTTTATTGATGAAATGGGTACTGTAGATCGAATAGTGTACTAAACAAATAAAGGCACAAAACTTTGTCGGAGAAATGTTTTTCAACAAACGTTCACCACGTTTTTTGTTTTTTTTAGTTGACGTTAAAATATAATCCTTTTTGATAACAAAACACGAATAACTAGTAGTTACGATGCTGTTATTCTTAGTATTAAATCTGGTTCAATTCTTACTAAGGGGGATTTTATCCAACATTTAAGTGGGGTTTATTGGAATAGATTTTTTTTTAAAAAAAAAGAATAACTATTTCGTTAAAATTAATAAAATTAATTCCAATCTGTTAATTAGTTGTTTAAAAAATTTCCATTTATCTAATATTTTTCTTTTAATTTTTTAAATTTGGAACAATCAAACACTCGAATGTGCACTATAAACAGTATAGAAAAGAGTACCATATCTTACGTACCTAGAAAGGTGCTTTCTCATGTCGATACTTTGTTTCCATACAACGATACAAAGTTCTGCCAAAGAAAAAAAAAAAAAAAAACTCTTTAGATATTTTTCGTGTTATTCGTTGTGTATATGTGCTGATGCAAAGTTGTATGGATGATCCTGAGTGACCTCACCTTAATTTTTGGTTATAAAACGTTTTATTACCATTTGTAGATTAAAAACAAAATTAAGGTTGTTGAAACTGGTAAAACCCTACTTTCTTTATCTCCGTTGATCAAAATTATCGTATTAACAACTCACAAATTAAAGGAATCACATATTCTAAATTCGGTAAATCTCTCAATGCCTTAACTAGCACTTCTTATGTCCCAAAATTATTGTCATGTTTTTATTTTTACTTTTAGTTTAATTTGTAGTGAAACCAAATATCAAATAGACAATAATTTTGAGACGGAGGAAGTGTTTTCTTCTGTAGAAATAGTTGTTGGAAGAGATCGAGTCACATGGTTTTGTGTACGTCTCTGAAAGTGGGTGAAAATCAAGTTGAGAGTGGTATATGTCTCTGATTCAAAATTCTCTTTGTTGTTTTTTTTTTAATCGAATAAACTTATTTGCATGTTGTTATTATAGTACTTAAAAACATTAAATTTATTATTTGTACTATTATCTGCAGTGGTACATATTAATTTTTAGAAGTTTTCCACAAATTGCATGGCATTCATTAAAGTAGATCAAAGCCTTGTCTTCCGTATTTCTTCAATTAACTCCTCAGATTGGTTGGTGTCTATTGACCATTGCCCACCCTAGGCCAATGACATTCTAGCCTAATTTAACGAGTTGAATTTAGGATGTTGAAATACATTAAGAAAATAGAAAGAAAAAAAAAAAAAGAAATTGAACGAGTTCAGGGTAATTTCATTTACGTAGGAATGTGATGCAACAAATTTGCGAAACATTTTGAAAATTCCTTGTGTCTCATTTTAGTTTTTAAATTAACAAATGGGGTTTAGAAATTCTTATAATTAAAGGTGATGACATTATTGTACATTTACTATGTTTCTATGTTTCTATTGTTTCGTATAAAAGGCAATTTATATTGTGAACCCTGTGTACCATATATGGTACACTTGTCTAATTAATGCAATCTAACTATAGAATAAAAAATTAAGAAAAACTTGTGAAATTTGGATACACATGATATGATATGAAAAGTATCATTGTTATTTATGAATATTTCAGGAAAAAAGTATGAACATTTATTGTACATATGATTAATCTTTTGAAATTTCTATAATTTGTAAGAACATTTAGCATAATCTTTAGGAATAGTCATAGTTGTATGTATGAATAGAAGATTAAAAATATTACAACTTTTAATTTATAATTATGTGTACAATTTTTTAATTAAAAGATATGAATTTTTTTATATATTTGATATGAAAAATATGTTTATCATCATGAATTTTACATTGTATGATTATGAAACTTTAATTTTTAGTATCAATAGAAGTATATTAATAAATAGATATTTTTTCCTTTTTGAATTTTTTTTTCTAATCACGTAATTGATTTGAATATATGATATATGATATTAAAATGGAAAGAGGATTGACTAATTTAATACTAAAAATCAAAAGGAACGACAAATAGTATTCTAAAAGAAGAGTACAATGATAAACACAACATATTCCAATTAAATGGATTATTAATGCAACACATAAGGAAACACCTTTTTCAACACAAAAAAAAAAAAAAAGAAGAAGAAAAAGGCAACACAGAATGATCAATTTTAATTATTCCTCAATTTAAAGGTGAAGTATATTACATATATTTCGAGACCGTCATCGGTTTTCTTGATAAATTCATCGTATATGTCGTTTGTTATTCACCGTATATATAAAATAGAAAATTTAAAAACGAAACTCCAATCTTATTAGGTCCCTTTTCCACTTTGAGGCTATAATTCAAAGGATCTACACAATTATTGACTTAAATTTGCTAATCACACATTGAATCAAATCAATGCCACAGTCTCAAATCGAAGTTGGAGGTTTTTACTGTATGTACCTGGAGCAATGAGTTGCTTCCATAACTCTTCTTTCCAATCCCTCCATTCATGTGAAGAACATCCTTCCCTTTCATAGCCATTGTTCTTCTTTTGTTAAAAGTTTTACTATATTAGGTTTTTGGGTTTGATTTGAGTCCTATTTATAAGTCTTATTAATTTGGCAAGCTGGACGGCTGGTGATGCTAATGGCATTTCTACAAATATTTGCTGGTCATTTTTTGTAGTTCAATTGATGGGCCTAATTATTTTGGATTCATTATAGAAATGCAAGGATGGTTTGGAGTTGGAGTACCAATACCAGAGGTAGATAGTCACAAAATATAGTAGTGATCAATATGTCGCTTGACTTGTTAAGTTCGTGACATACTAACTGACACGTAACGTTAATCATTTCAAAAAATATTATTACAAATCTGTGACCATTAATTGTCTCTATCAACATTCAGTATAACTGATTTTGTTTAACAAGCGTGTTATCATGTGTGAATAATAATGTCATAGAATATAGATAGTAGGTTTGGTTACAAAGTTAACAGTCAGAGCATATTCATGGGATGATAAAGTTTGCTATAAGCTGTTGGAATTTGATGAATTGTTCACCACAATGATAGTTAAAACACCATACTGCAATTGGCTACTTAAACCTTTTTGTGATGTTTGCTTAAAAGAAACTGATGAACCTGAAACTGACAACATGTGTATGAGATTCGTGGTTAGCAAATTGGCACAACCTAACGTTACACTTAGATAAACATCTCAAATTTGCTATACCCTGCAAGTTATTGCTTTTATTTTCTTTTAATGCCATCGTTTTATCCATGGCTAACTTCATTTTGCCCCTTGAGTTGGCGGCCCATTGCTAGTCAAATTCCGAATTTTTGTAGTATATTCTTGGATGTTCCATATAATACGCCTCTATCTTTTCTGAATTTACTTTGGTCATTTCATAGTTTATAGGCGAGCGATAACTCAAAATTAAAATTTTGTTGAGGGGCCAAAACTCGAGATCCAATTTCAATTTGGGCCGTATTGCAACGCATCCTTTATCAACATCTAATCAAAGATATGGCATTCTAGCGGCCGACAAGTTTTAAGAGAATAAATCTATGAATATAAAAGATTTAGAAAAGAAACACCATAATATTAACTTGCAGATGATTCATTACAGTACTTTCTTCGGATCTAGCTAGATTCCCCCAAAGAAAAGAAAAAAAGAGTAGAAAATCAAACAATACACCATGACCAAATTCTACTAAAATGACATGTAGGAGTATCCCCCCAAAATACACACACACACGCATAGAATATTTCCCCTTTATTTTATTCAAAAGAATTTCAAATGCTTTTTAAATGGGTAAACTATGAAGGACCACTGTCTCAACAGTCAGGCCAGGCCCAAATCCAAACAGCACACCCCATTCCAGGCCTTCTCCAGTAGTTCCCAGCCCATCTTTTGCTGAGGCCTTCCTCATCTCATCCAAAATGAACAACACACAAGCACTGGACATGTTTCCATACTCACTCAGCACATGTCTTGTGGCCCGCATCTTCTCGGGCTTCAGAGCCAATTTCTCTTCCACTTGGTCCAAAATGGCAGGCCCGCCAGGATGTGCAACCCAGAAGATGGAGTTCCAGTCAGAAATACCTATGGGCTCAAATGCTTCTTCCAAGCTCTTCTCTATGTGCTTTGAGATCAACCCAGGAACGTCCTTGAGGAGATGAAATGTCAGCCCAACTTCACGAAGATGCCCATCGATTGCGCCGTGACTGTCTGGCAAGAGAGTTTGGGCTGCCGAAACCAGCTCAAATAATGGCCTCTCAACACCGGGGATAGGATCTGACCCAATAATTATCGCTCCCGCTCCATCCGCGAACAAGGCCTGCCCAACAAGACTGTCCAAATGGGTCTCACTTGGGCCACGGAATGTCACAGCAGTGATCTCCGAGCACACGACTAACACACGAGCGCCTTTGTTATTCTCGGCCAAGTCCTTAGCCAACCGGAGGACCGTGCCACCGGCAAAGCAACCTTGCTGGTACATCATGAGTCGCTTGACCGACGGGCGAAGGCCCAATAGCTTAGTGAGCTGGTAATCGCAGCCGGGCATGTCGACACCGCTAGTCGTGCAGAAGACCAAATGGGTAATCTTGGACTTGGGCTGGCCCCATTCCTTAATGGCCTTTTGGGCAGCCTCCTTTCCCAATTTGGGCACTTCAACAACCACAATGTCCTGTCTTGCGTCCAGTGATGGTGCCATATAAGCACACATATTGGGATTTTCCTTCAAGATTTCTTCTGTCAAATACATATGACGTTTCTTGATTTGTGATTTATCACCTGAAATTGTTAAGAAAATATAATTTAGTAATAATGTCAACGTCAAATGTGCTGTCTTGTAATCACACGGTGGGAAAAGCGTCCATGTCAGCTAGGATCTAATCTTCACCGCACAATAGAGGCAACTAAAAGTGGCATTTCAGTAATGACAACTAGACAAAAACTAATAAATAATACTAACTGCCAACATGTGAACCAAAAAAAAAAAAAAGAAAAAATAATCGCCCCACTTCCTTTTTTTCCCCTCAATTTTAGCACCCATAGATACAATAAAAACATGGTACGATTCATTTATTATCCATTTGATAAGAATTACCCAAGTGTGTTATATTTTGAAACTCTTATTTTATGAAGAAATAAGTACATAAGCCAGATGATTTCAGTTGGTCCAAATCACGAGTGGAGAAGCAAACAATATATAGACTTCTTGATATGGGAATCAAATTCCAACAAGAAAAAAAAAGAAGGGAGCATGTCTTTATTCATTCATTCAAGCATTCGGCTAAGAAGGGAGCAAAATCCAAGAAACAGAAGCTCAAAATTTTGGTAGGAATCACCTTGATTTTTAGAACCATTCATTTGGCTGGATTTATAAAATGCAACAGCAAAATACAAATAATGTTTCGTCTGATTAAAAAAACCCGAGAATTTTTGTTCCCTTAAAAATATTATTATTATAATTAAAAAAAAGGAAGTACTTTTATTTGTTTTTGTTTTATGATGTCAATGTGTAGCTCATGCAAGAAACTGTACAAGTGTCAATATTCAGAACAAATCCCAGCCCAGGTGGTAACTTTTGGTGAGTGCAAAAAAGAAGTTGCTAGTCAGTTTTGACACAATATATATTATTATTATTATTATATAAATCACAAGAAAAATTCGGGCTGATTTATTTAACTCTCTTTTTTGGGTAGAAAGTAATTTGCACTTTTTCGCAAGGCACGGCACAGAAGAGGTCTACAAAATTATCCCTCAATTTTTGGATTATTCTTTATACTTTACTTTCGTAAAATAAAAATAAAAAGTAAATGTACGCTTTGTAAACCAGAATAGATCAATGTGCTTGAAATAAAATTCCTCTTATTTATTTTCTTAAATATTCTACCTGTGTTGCTAATTTTCAAGGTTTATTTTTCGGAAGAAAAAAGACATGAAATGTAGGCGGCCGATTGTTAGAGAAAACTAGTCGATTAATTCAATCCGAAATCAACTACGTAATCGTGTGTGTGTGTGTGTGTGTGTGCGAGAGAGAGAGAGCGCGAAGAAGAGCCGGGAAACCGGTGCTCTACGTTTCTTTTCTAGACAATGGATCCCAAAAAAAGAAAAAAATAAACTAGCAAAATTTATTTATTCTTTTTTTTCCCCCTTTGAGATTTCATCAATCTCTTTATAAGATGGATAAAAAGGAACTTTAATTCTTTTTCCACAAAATATTTTACCATAATATTCAAAATTGGCATATCAATTGTTATAAGGACTTCCTAAACATCCAAAAAAAAAAAAAAAAAACACACACACACACAGAGGTGTCCAATGCATGCAGCAATTCCATGAAGAACAAAAAAGAACAAAAAAAAAAATCCAATATCAACAGAGAGAAATAATTTTATTTTTGGGGGAAAAAAATCATTTAATTTGGAAAAATTCTTTCAAAATTTGAGATGAGAGAGGTAAGACTTACACATGCGTTGGAATTTCTCTTTGAGGTCAGTCATATGCTCACTGTTAGTGATGCGGAAGTAATAATCCGGGTAAGTGCTTTGGTCGACGCAGTTTGGCGGCGTCGCCGTCCCGATCGCCATGATCGTTGCCGGCCCTTGTGCCCTCTGTGCTCTACGAACTTCCTCCACCGTCACCATTTTTTCTTTTCTTCTTCTCGTTTGCCGGTACCAAAAAAAAAGAAATAATCAACCACTGTGTGTGTGCGTGTTTTTTTTTCTTCGTCTAATGAATTAACGTTAATTTTTGTACTAGGTATATACTAGAAAAGAGAATTAAGGAAAGAGGTGGAAAGGACTTCAATGTGGTTGTGGTGGTGGGGTGGCAGAAGAGAGAGTACAAGTGTTGGTGTTTATGGGTCATGAGGCTGATATATATAGGCAAAATGTGATGCTATAAAATAATTTAATATTGAAAAAATAATAATAATAAGTATATTAAATTGATTTTTGTTTTTATGGTATGGTAGCTGAGGATCACGTGCCTAGCAACCCGGTGGTGAGTTATGTAAAAGAAGAAGAGGGAAATAGAGAGACCGGCAGAACACGACTCCGATGAAAGGAAGGTTTGTGTTTTGTGTTTGGTGTGTGTGTGTGTGTTTTTTTTTAATTTTTTTAATGCACATACCGTTCAATAAACAATCCACATGATTCCTCAATTCGGCGCCTAATTCCTCATATATGATCACCTTCTTTTTTTTCAACCTAATAAGATGAGGTAATTTTAGAGGGGCTATTGTTAACGCATGTTAGAGTTGATTGTATTGTTAGTTAGTTAAGGAGTTGATGTCATTTTGTTTGATTGGAACATATGATAAGCAATTTCATAGGTGGTGTTGGGAAAGAAGATTTTCTCTGGGTATACCAATCGTGTTATGTATATGTTATTACATGATTAAAATAAAGTAAAATGTTAATTTTATGTGTTTGTTGTTGAATTACGATTATAATTTGTAAAAATTCAGGTCAAGAGAGATCTTATTTATGTTAATAATACGCATTTGTTTAAATCAACTTGTGAGAATCGTTTTTAAAAATTTCAGTCGGCAGTAAATTACAGTATATATATATTTACATTATCTCTGCATGAATTGAATAGACGTCAGTTAGAGAAATGTCCTTCGGCATAATGATACGGGAAAAAAAGATCATGAAAATATAATGTCATCTCGTGGAGGAGATTCGATATCCAACCAAGTCTTTAACCACATAACCGGGAAATTGCCAAGCTAGCTAGTCGGGCCGTGACCAAGGTGGGGGAACAAGGTATCCCAAAAGCGGGTCGGGTTAGCATGTATATTCTCGTTATTTCTGTTGTTAATAAATATTTCTGTTGTTAATAAATATTCTCGTTATTTAAATATTTCATAAGAGGAAATAGTAATCGTGAAAAAGGATTTAGATGGTGGCGTGGCTAAGTCAAAGCCACTTAGCTTTTACTTTGTTACTATATATATCCTACTATATTAGAAATAAAAACCTCCCTTTCAAACACCTCATATGATTGCCACGTGGCATGTAAAAAATATTAAATTGCCCTTTTGTCTAACCATAACTAAATTACTAAATCTCCCTTTGCACTTTACGTGACACATTTTTTTTTTTAATTTTTTCTTTATGTTTCATTCAACTAGAGTGGTTTTTTAAATTGAATTGATCAATTAGGTTTTTTGTTACAAAGTGTCAATTTTGTTTTAAATGTATACCCTTTGGATGAAGCTTATTACAAAGCTATTAAAAATCTTCAAAACTAAGTATTGATTTGGCACGACCAATGGAGAACATCAATAAATCATCTTACTAATATTTAAATTTATTAGGATACTTTTATATTTTATCTAACATTTATTTCAACACATATATTCGATTAAGCTATTTATATTTAATAAGTAACACTTATAAAACATTTCTAAAACATACATGGCGAAATATAATTTTTGTTTTTTTGCGAAATACAAATATTTCTATGATCACACTTATAAAATATTTCTAAATCCTTCAAATATTTCTAAAATATATCGCTCCAAATACAAAATTTTATTTTTTTCAAATATAAACATTTCTAAGATCTACAGATAGAATGGGCCAAGGTCGCACATTGCGCGACCAGACATCACTAGTATGCTAAGAAGAGATAAACAACTTATTAGCGGTTTGGTTTTGGCGCGGTCTGTTTAAAGCTGACGGTTTCGTTTATTTGACTCGTGTTGTGTACTACTATATGTTATCCAAATCTGCCATATTCTCGTATAAATCTCTTCGTAAATTATAAAGACCTTTAATGTGGAAATTGCTGAAGGGGAAGCTTTACCAAATGGCTTTGCCCACATTTACTTATTGCCACGTCTTGTGAACTCTAATTTTGGGAAAACAAGTGTGACATTTTTCATTTACACTATTTAAAAATTTTAACACGCGTTTATTCATTTGTCTGTTAAAATTTTTTTACAAAAATATTGTGAATCGAACACAACTTTTCATATTTACACTTTACCGACAAGATTAATCTGTTTAAGATTGGGCAGATAGGTCAAATTTGTCCATCTTATTTTTTAATAATTTTTTTCTTTTGTGCATTACTATTACTAATGTAAGTACATATGTCAAACTTTAAACACTAACACAGCTATGTAATTCAAACTATATATGAAAACTTAAAAGAAAACAAAAGTATAATAGTGTAAAAGTAAAAGTATCACGAAATTTACACTTTACCGACAAGATTCATCTGTTTAAGATTAGGCAGATAGATCAAATTTTTCCATCTTATTTTTACTAAATTTTTTTTTCTCGTATGTATCACTAAATTAATAGTAAATACATATGTCAAACTCTAAAAGCTAACACAATTATATGTATCAAATTATGAAAACTGAAAAGTTGATACAAGTATAACACCGGAAAAGTGAAAGTGATGAGAAAGATCTTATTCGATTAATTTTATCATTTTCATATAAAAATATCGACAATTTTTTCTTTTCTTTCAAACTCCCGAATTAGGTGTGTTAAATTATTGCCATACCACATCTGAACAGTGCACATCAGATTTTTTATCATCTCAAATTTTGCTCAAACTTCTGCGGGGATCTACATTCAAGCACGAAGGTTGGGGGTACTATAAATGTGCATTTTTCCAAAAATGAAAAAACTAAACTAATGTGATATTGTGATCATGAGGATTTTACCTCCAAGTTAAAGGCAGACAGGCTGACTGACGTGTTGGTAACTATACACACACCGAACAATCTGTCAGCTGTCTCTATATGTATGATCACAATTCCATTGGGTAAAGAATTTTGGTAAACCAAATTTTTGTATATTAATGGTGCCTTGTTAGAGAATTAATGATACTTCATCTTCGGTTATAACATTTTTAACCAAAAATAGCAAAACCTTAAGTTTGTTAAGTTTTTTAATGGTATTTTTAAAATATTTAAATAATAACTGTCATATCTCAACATATTTTTTTACACACCTAAAAATACATATTAAAAAAAACGAAATGTGAGGGCTGATAACACAAGAAGCGTGACAGAATTTCACATTTCGATTTTGAAATGATGAAGGTCAATAATGGATGAGTACTTTATATCAATCATGTTGAGACCATGAAATCTATAATTTGCCCCCATTTTCTTTGGTATTTATGAGGGATTCAGTTTTAATGCCAAAAAGTTGTGCCCCTAGAATCAGCTCAATTCTTGAATTAGTCTAAAGATTATTTTTTCCAGTATTGGATTGATGGTAATATATATTTATTTTTTGAAAGGAAATTGACATGGTATTAGATGTACAATGAGTTTTTGACTAGGTGGTGCAGTCCCTGGCCTCCTGACTTTTTGTTTGCATCCATTAATTCACCGAAATCTTATAAAAATTCGATACATATTATTAACTTACTAACTGACAAATATGCATTACTCCATGCCATGTAATATTGATCGCGTCTGTTTCAAAATGATTGACTAATTTTCATTAATTTTTAGTCTAGAGATGTGATTTTCATTGATGTTTATAACCTTTTCTTGTAATTGAAAAAAAAAATTTTAACTTTTTTTATATAATTTTTAGTTATAACATTGGAGAAGCCAATAAATTTTAGGAAAAACATAGGGAAAAATAAATAAATAAAAACCCAAAAATACTACTACTATAACTACTCGTATATAGAAACTTAAACATGTCTCTAATTGATTTAAGGCTCATGATATTGCCAAAACAAAAAATAGCATCCACAACAAAAAAAATTTCTAGTACCAAAATGCCCACATTAATTTAATTGTCAAATTTTCCTCTAATGCTTATCCAGATTTCTTTTTCCCTTTTCTATTATCATTTCCTTTTTCATCCCATCTCATCACATCTCTCATAAACGTTCTTTTATTTCTAGTTGCTCATTTCTTGAACCTTTTTCTTCTTTTGCAAAAATGTTCTTCATGAAAATGACATGCACAATTACTGGAATAATGCTAAAATTTATTTTTATCCTTCAGTAATTTTGATTTAGATAAATGTGTTTCAATTGCTCGCAGACGATCAATAAAATTGCATGAACATATTTGATTTTATAACACAAAGTAAATATTTTTTTTTTGGAATGAAAAAAAAAATCATGTTGATCTTTGGAGGAGATTACTTTTTTGCTCTCGTATCGAGTTTTAAATGATGTTAAAAGTAACTTAGAAGTATGGACTACATATTATGATTCTTTTGGAATTTTATCTTATTAGTAATATATAAAAAAAAAAATTGGGAGAAATGAACTCTGAAAATGTTGTGTTCAACTTCACGCCCGTGCTAAGATGGGATAAGTGAGAAATTAATTTACTGGCTAAAAATTCGGTTGCCTCGTTTAGTTCTTTTGTGAAAAAAAAAAAAAGAAATTTCTTGTTTAATATGTAGTAATTCATAGGGAAGTTATAAATACGAAATAGGTTTAATTAATGAGGGTATTTTGGTAAAAATTGTTTTGGATGCTATTTTTTGCTTTGGCAGAATCATTTGCCTTGATTTAAACATATCCCAGAATCCTCTGTGTATGGCATGACGGTCTCCGTAGTATTCTTATTTCTATAATTTTTTAAAAACGGATAAAGCATTAATTATTATTTTATCTATTTCGTAAATTTAAACCGCACAGGATTTGATTAATTCAAAGGATATATTGACCCCTGAAAGAACAATAAATTAAAAAAAAAAATCATGTGTAGTATTATGTCAAAAGACTAAAAAAAATTGTTCATTTTAATTGCAAAAAATCATCAACAAAAGATTGCAAAACAGTTTTAGTGGTACCTTTTAATCGGAATACCAAAAGAACATTCTGTCATTCTGCTAGATTGAGACGACAAATTAAGGTAGATTTAAGAGAGAGGGAGTAACCATGAATTCTTCAATTCGGTTAAGCAAAAGGGACGATGAAGGTACATGAAAATGTTCCCAAGGAATTGGTCAAAGAATCATTGACTCACTTAATTTACTATATATGTAAAATAAAAATAATGATTTGTGCAGTAAATTTTTTTGAAAAATTAATTATCATTCGTATTTTGTACCTTATCTTAAGAAATTTATGTATTTAAGTGTTGCCC